CAATTGATCATAATGAGTTCTTTGGCTATTTTTGGCATTATTAACATATAATCGTAAGTTTTTTTTTTACTTGATTAGGAAGATATAACCATTCAATAGGAAACAACTGAGAATTATAAATTGTCCCAAAATCCCAATAGGAGATGGGAGGTTATCTAAAACATAGAAAATAAGAGGTTAGTGGTCATTAACTCAATATATCTGTCTCTTCTGAAACATTTGTTCCACCAACTGTAATTTGTTTTGTGCCTTGGGAGTTAGTTGTGGAAAATTAATTTGTGGGTCACCTTGTAGAGTATTCTGAAATGTTTTCATTGATATGTAGCAATATCGAATTCGGGTTGAATCCAATTAATATTTCCCAATTATTTTTGGAAATCATTTAAACAATCTTGTCTTATATTTACATTTTTGACATCTCACTACCCATTCATTAAGTGGGGTCCCTAAATACAGATAAGGGCTAGAAGTCTATACTTTATCAGGAGCTATGCAGAGGCTATGGCTTTAAAGATTTTTCTTGACTGTAGCAAATAAAGCATGTGACTGTGCCTTTGATGCTGTCAGCAATAATGTGTAATGCATGTAATATAAGCCTAAGAATAATATAATCCTGAGGATAATATAAGCCTGAGGACACTGCTGTTGAGCAAGCTGTAAGGCTTGACTTAAAAAATGCTGACATAGTAAGGGGCTATTCATTTTTCCCTGAGGTAAAACTGTCCACTGTCCTCCTTTATTCAATCTGTACCTCAGATTATAGCAGGAAATTCAAAACCCTTAAATTTTCTTTTATATCCAACATATTAGGTCCCATTCTAGACAGGGGACAGTTTTATCACTGATTTGTAGGTTCCTTAAAATTGATACCAGGTACACAGAAAGCAAAATATTGATGATTAGGATGATGTAGAGGGATTGTATAAAACAATTTTTAGATCAATAATAATCAGTGGACATTCTTGGGGGACAGTGAAAGAGGAAGGCAGGCCAGGCTACAAGTTCAATATCAGCCCTAAGCATGCATTTACAGCCCTTAAATCCTATAACAATCTTTACTTTCTGGATTTATTTAGGATAACAAACATAGGGGTGTTCCAAGGGCTGGTAGATGGTTCTAAATCTGTTCTTGTATCAATTGATATAAATGTGCTAGCTTCTACTTATTTAGAGGCTACTGACCCACATAGACTTGGGTATCTATTTTCCATTGAAGTGACAAAGCTGGTCCAGGGAAGAGAAAAGCATAGATAGCCACCATTAGAAAAGGAGTTGATAGCTAAGTCATACAGAGTCTAATTTAGGGGTGACTAATATTGGTTCTGGGGTCCTTTGTACATTTTTTCCCAAGCCTGAGCCTAATTGATACCCTTTCTTTTTCATAGTTTGCTTTTCAACAATAACAGGCTTATTGGTTCACATGATTCAATGTTCTTCTAAAAGGTCTCTTCCCCAAAGATTTATAGGTAGGAGAAACATAGGGTTGAAAGACCTGGGCTGACTTTCTGGTCCTAAGTAAAATATGGGAGCTGCACTCTGTAACACTTTTTGAAGCAAACTAAGCCTCACTAATGAGGAGTGGCAGCCTTTGTAGGCCAGAATGGAGGCCATTTCACCATCAGCTCCACTGTCCACTAAGCACTGAAAAGTCTTTCCTTTTATTTCTATCCTTTACATCAGCCTTTCCTCATTTAGCTCCTGTGTAAGGTAATTTTTTGTTAGAAGAGGTGTTACCAAAATCTTCCTTCTTCCTCTCTTATTTTCTATGTTGCCCTGAGGAGATCTCCACTACGTGGAGAAGTATCAACTAAACAATGTAGCCACCCAGTTCAAGGATCCAAATGTCCATGGATTGAGCTACAACTAGAATTTCTTCATTGTCAGATTTAATTATTCCAGGTACAACAGTAATGTCCCATAAATTGAACCTATTTTCCCCCATAATGAATACAACAGTGCCCTCAGATAATGGTCCCCATATTCCTGTGGATATTTTCACTGGCTTATCTCCCCAGAAAAGGGTGACTCTTGGCTGTGGGGAGGTCCAACACTGAACTTCCTGGTGTTCCAAGAGTGAGGGAAGCTATGTCTCACTAGGGAACCAAGACAAACTGCTGCTTACTGCTTGTACAGGAAAGGCCCTTGTTTTTCTTAGGGTCCAGGGGTGGATCCAATTCCTGCTTTCCATAGAAAAGTGCTGACTTTATGATATTTTGACTGGCAAGTTTTTGTGCAATGATTTATTTTACATATTAAGAATGAAGACTGGGAGCTAGATTAGTATTCCCGCCCATGGAAGGTAGAATGGTAGCCCCCAACTTGGCTGGAGCAGTCCGTTGTTTATGAATACATCTTTTTTTTTTTTTCATACTTAAAGCACTGAACACTGACACTTTTGTTCCCCTTTGTAAGACTTAACATAGCTTGAGCCAGCATAGAACTTTTGTAAGATATGGTCCATACATCTTCACAAGTTTTTAAATAATTTTCAAGATTCTTTGTGGCCTTAACCACCTCAAGAGCCTGGTTATATGTTTATTTGCATTCTTGAAAGAAATCATCCTATATTTTCAGCCCCAAGTAAATGAGGAACTTATCTACAGATTGTATCCTATAGCAAGGAATTGAACATAAGACTCCCAGGATCCCAATAAAATATGTAGAAAGGACTGAACTAGACTGTACCTTCATCGGGACCCAGAGCCCATGATTGCCTCATCATCAAATGTATCTATTCACATACTTCATTAAGATAAGTCAGTCATTGTGCAAGTTTTGCCTGTGTCCCCATCCCCTTTCCCTCAGATCCCTGGCCTCTCAGCTGCTCTATTTCTATTTCCCTGTTCTGTTACAAGCTCTTGGTGTTGCATGTTGAAATGAAGATATTAGCCTGTTGATTGATAAGAATGAGTAAGATGTTTAATATCTTGCAGAACCATCTACAGAGCTCCACAAAATGGACTCCAAGTATAAAGTGTCTCTGGACTCCATTATTATTATTATTATTATTATTATTATTAATTTATTTATTTTTTGCAGAACCAGGGATTGAACTCAGGCCCTTGTGCTTGCCAAGGAAGTGTTTATTCCACTGAGCCATCTCCCCTGCCCCTGGACTTCATTATTCATTACACTTGGTTTTAGTTATTTGAAAACATACTGTATTTCATGATGTTCATGTATCATTTGTTGGGGAATATTGGGATCTAGTCTAGCTGTGATAGGGGAGCAACAGTGTCCAATTGGGTCCCCAGCCATTATAAGCTGCCAGAAAAGTTGTTGGTACTTAGACATACAAGGATGACTCTCCCTCCAGACTCTGGGAATTCCAGAGACCTGGGCCAGGAGGGTCTTTCTACCATTTTTATATTGTTTTCCCTTTTAAGAAGAGAAGTAGCAGATGCAGTAAACCATGTAGCACACAAGGGTCCCAAGAAGGATTTCACCAAACTCCATGTTGAAAGGATGTCTATGACAATCTGTTCTCTCCTAGTATTGGCACATATCATTTTTCCCCCCACTCTATCCTAGTTCTCCACATCCAAAGTTCCTGCTTGTGGGAACTATGGTATATATTTAGTAATATCTTGCAGAACTTTTGAAAGAAAGTGAGTACTAACCTGGGCCCTTCCCTGGGAAACCTAGCAAGGTGAGGTGAGTCCAAGAGCTGAAAGGCCACATTGAAGCTCCTGGACAGTTCCTATGAAGCCACCACAGCACCAAGGAGAAAGCTCTACCCTCATAGGGTTTGTATTCTTTGGGCTCAATGGGTGGAGGCATATTCATTGACAGAAAATATTCACTCTGTGTTCATGTGATACCCAAACTACCGTATCTCAATTCAATCTTATGCTCATCAAAATGGGAGAAGCTTTTGCACTCATTCAAGAATATACTAAAGTCTAGACAGGGGTATATGACTTACCCAAAGTTATACAGATAGTAGGATTCAGATCTTGAAGAGCAAACTGGAAATCCCTCATTTCCTAGGCTGAGGTCCCATATACCATCCTTAGGCAAAACATAGGGGTTTCCTGGGCTTACACAGATTAGGGGTGGAGGCCAAGAGATGTTGAGCTGTCCAGGAAGGTCTCTTAGTTTCTAGGGGGAGGATTTAGGGCTAGTGCCTCTGACTGTGGGGGACAGGGCCTGGGCAAGATCCCATTGCACCTGAAAGTGTCCTCTCCAGGACTCATTACCCAACTCCAGCCTGGAGACAGCCCACCCCAGCACAAGACAACTTCTTATCATGGTCTCAGTAACCTAGTCAAGGACACCCTAGGGCACAAGTTGCTTCCAGGCCTCAGGAAGAAGTGGGAGCAGGACCCAGATCCCCGCTGGTGCACCCACTTTTTCTGAGTCTCCAGAAACATGCTGGGCTGCCTATCTCTGGGCTCGGCCTGCTGTCTCCTACTCTCCCCTTCCCATGCTGTCTGGGGATGTTCTATAGTAGTAGGAAACACATGGGGGAAGGTGGAGAGTCTGAGAATGAGGAGCTTTGGAGCTGACATTTGAAAACATGGCCTTGGTGGTCAGGGCTGGGCGGAAAGAGAAACATGGCCAGGAAAAGAGGTTAGATGTCCTGGGTTCAAAACAGCCAGACTTGCAAGCATGCTGCGTGCATGTCCATGCATGTCTTTCTTCCGTTGCTGTAAGGAAGGTTGGTCCACAACCACAGAGTCAGACCTTGGGGGCAGAGAATCCAGTGTGACTGCTTGGGGGCAGAATGGGGAGGAAGGAAGGGACCAGAGCACACAGGTGAGATGCAGCCTGGGGGGTAGGAGAGCAGAGGCAGGAAGCCCTGCATGCATCAGGCTGGGTATAAACAGAAGCAGACAGAGCTGGCTACACAGGGGCTTGCAGCTGCAGAAGCTCTGAGGACCTTGGCCACTCTGTGGTATTCCAGGCACAGGGCCGAGTAGTAGGCAAGACAGCCTGTGTGGAATCTGAGTGGACTCTTCTTTCCATCACCACAAATTTGAATGTGGTCTGGACCAGCCATGTTCCTGTGCAGCCTCCTGCTCCTGGTGGCTGCTATGACTGCAGCCCAAGAGCCTGAGAAGCAGGTAGACATCACTGACAGGAACCATCATCCCATGGTGCACATGTGGGTGTTGACTGGCAACTGGATAGACAACGTGGAGAATGAGCTGAAGAACAACATGCAGACACTACAGAAGGTAAGGCCGGGCTCAAAAGCAGCAGGAAACATGGGAGCTGGCACCATCAGCAGAGGGCCCATGCACCCCTGAGACTGACTGCAGGGGATCCTGAGGGGAGAGACTGGGATATGCTGCCAGAGTGCAGCAGGGATGGACCTGGTGACGCACAGCAAGACAGGACAGTGTTGAAATGGAAGCTGGCTCTTTGAAGCCATTCCTTCACAATGAGCATGGGCAGACTCATCCTAGCTGAGCAGATGGCAGGGAGAGAACAATCTATTCCTCCTGGATGAGGGGAGGAAAGAGGGCATGAAAAGATGTCTACTGTGCCAGATCGTCACTCACAGAGAAGTGGGGGAGGAGGGCAAGCTGTGGCACCCAATTGGCTGGGCCCAGGTCATTTGTGAGAATGTTGCAGAGGAGGTGGTCCCTGACTTCAGAAGACAAATGAAGAGGATGTGCGTGGCACATTCCTACTGAGGGACCCTTGGGTATCAGGGCTTGAAGGAGGGAATGTAATCAAGTGCTTAGGCTCAGTGAGAGGGAGGGGGCCTGAGTGGAATCCTAGAGGTGAGAGTAGTGCCAGCTATGAAGGTCTTGAGGTCAACAGTGAGGGTTTTGGCTTTTGCCTTCAGTGTCACTTCCACCATGGAAGAGTTTTAAACCTGTAGTGACACTGTTGCTCTGGGTTTAGTGGGATAGGTTGTGTGGGACAGGTAGATGCTAGAAACAAGGAGAAGGCCTGTGGCTGATACATTCCCCACACATGCGGTGACAGAGGTGTGAGGAGACTGAGGTCTGGGAAGAGCATAATTCTGCAGGGAATGAATCATCCATGCTGATGAATCAGAACCCAGGAGGCAGACAGCAAGAGTGGAGAGAGGGCCACCGCAGTGTGAGCCTAGAGCTGGGGTCCTCACTGTTTCATGGAAGAGGTCCTGCCACACAGAGGTATTGCTCAAGGCCATTCAGCTGGAAAGCTTGAGTCACACCCAGGCCCTTTGACTCAAGGCACCGCCCTCTCTGCTTAAGCATTTACCTTCAGTTGGCAGTGGCCCCTCCAGTCATGAGCCACAGCACCAGTTTCCATCGGAAGGGCATGCAGGGCTGCTCATCACCACTGGTCTCTGCCTGGGCTTCAAGTGCCAAGTACACTTCCACTCACCACAGGGCCTTTGCATGTGGCTCCACCTGGAGTCCCCTTCTCCCTGGCCTTCCCATGGCTGGCTGTGCCTCATCCTCTTAGCTCAGGTACCCTCGCTAGTGAAGCTTCCCTTGCCACCAGCCCAAGCATTATCTTGGCTTTGTTCTTCATAGCACTTGTTAGCATGGTAATCTAAATGACTTATTTAGGTTTTTTTTTTTTTTTTTTTTTTTGAGTGCTGGGAATTTAACTCAGGACCTTGCACTTGCCAGCCAGGCGCTACATCACTGAGCTACATCCCTGGCCCTGAACAATTTATTTAGTAGAAAGTCTTTGGATTCAGAACATCTTGGAAGTTTTTTTTTTAATTGCTGATTCTCTAGTACAGAGTTAGCACATAATAGATCAATAAGAAATAATTCTTTTTTTTAATAAGATACCTGGAAAAAATATTATCCTTTTTTAAACTCAAATATTCCTTGCTGTTATGTTTTTTCAGATTAATAGAGAATGAAGTATGTTATGAGTCATCCTCCCCAAAAAGAGAAATAACGCTTGCCAGGGATGTGGCAGCATTATATTCTCAGCAGATGGGAGGCTGAAGCAGGAGGATTACAATTACGGAGTGAGTTCAAGACCAACCTGCTTCAAAAAAAAATTCTGTTTTTGAAGAATGAAATGAAACAGTTTAGGGACACTGGTTTGAGGAAACATATTCCTTTTATTTTCTTTTTCTCTTTTTAAGACAGGGTCTCACTATGCAGTTCAGGTGGTCCTTGAACTCACTCTGTAGCCCAGGCTGACCTCAAACTCACAGTGATCCGCTTGCCTCTCAGCTTCTTCCCAGGTGCTAGGATTACAGGCACGCACAAGGAAGCATATTTCATACTACATTGCATTTGTATTTGGGAAATTTTCTTGAATCTCAAGCATTAGGATTTTTATTAATTAAGGTACCATCTGTACACACTGAAATTCACCCTTTTGACCTACAGTTCTGAGATTGGACAAACACATACAGTGTTGTAGCCACCACAAGCATGCTATAGGATGTTGCCAACACTACCCTAAAGATCCTGTGTCCTTCTACAGTTGTTTCCATTCCTAGACCTCAGTTCCTGGCAATCACAGATTCTGACTTTCCCAGAAAGTTACGGAAATGCAATCCTGCAGGGTGTAGCCCTCTGAGTCTGATTTACTTCACTCAGCATGGCGTAGCTGAGATTTTCCTGCATTACTTTGTGCATGAATGAATATTCGCTCCTGCATCGTGGCCATTGGGGGGCTGGAGCACAGTTGTTTACCCATTCAGAAAATTTTACTTTATACAAATAATGCAGGGGAAACCAGGTTTGAGCAGAACTCCTCAACCTCAGAGGTTACTCATCTGGAAATCCACATCGTCTTGTGGGTCAACACCCTTCCTCCTCAGGTCCTATCTGTCCAAATTTCCTTCCTTCCTTCCTTCCTTCCTTCCTTCCTTCCTTCCTTCCTTCCTTCCTTCCTCCCTCCCTCCCTTTCTTCCTTGCAGGGTCTCACTATGCAGCTCAGACTCATAGTGATTCTCCTGATTTCTGCCTCCCTAGTGCTGGGATTATAGGCATGTGCCACTGCACCTGGACTCCATCACTGGCTCAGTACACCTGGGGGTGGGGCTGGCTCAGCATGCAGTGCCAGGGATCGAATCCTGGCCCCTGAACTTACCTAAACAAGCGCTTAGCCAGCTGAGCTATATTGCTGGCCCTTTTCCTTTCTTTCTTCAAATGCCCTGTCCAAAGAAAGAAAGAGTTTACTGTCCCATGCCACTGATTTCTAAAGTGAGGCTCAGGGGCAATAAGACCCTCCAAAAACTGTAGGTAGAGTATAGCAGAGCAGAATGTGAATGCATGTCTAAAGACAAGAGTACTCCAGGAGCCAAAGATGAGCATTTATTTATATTGGCTAAAGGGGAGGTTGCAGGCTGTGGTCCATTCCCTGTATCTGGGCTGAGAGTGTGCTAGCCTGTGGGTGACAGAGGAGGTCCCACTGCACTGTGGGTGAACAGCCATCCCCACTTCAGTCTATTTCTCTAAACATATCTGAGCCCTGGGCAGGACCAACTCCAGCTCAGCACAGTTGGGCCCACCTAGCCTACACTATCCCTTTGCCTGGATCCATGCTGCTGGGTGACATGGCCGGTTCTTCAGTAGCATCAGTATGTTGATCTTTTGCCTTCCCAGCTGCTCATGGCCCCAGGACCACTGGGAGGCTAGTGAGGGTATTCAGGGGCTCCAGTCCCTTCAGATGATGCCCAGCTGTTCTGAATCCAAGGGAAGAATTCTTGAGCTCTATTCTAGCACATAGTGACCCTGATCAAACTTCTGGGGCCCCCCCAAAGGGGCCACCTCAGTGATGCTGCTTAGAGCATCTGAGCTCAGGGAGGAATTTCCTATTTACTCACCTGAAGCAGAAGCTCTTAGTCTTGGAGTCTGCATTTTAATTAGCACTGTAGTAGAGTGCTTACTCATGGAAAAGCTGGAACCCAGGCTCAGCAAAGCTCTGCTTGCCATGCCCAGCATGGCTCTTTTACCCACTACACATTAGGATTTGGGGGACCATGTTAAAGGGAGCATGCAGGAATTTCAAGAGGCAGCCTCAGGAGTTTCAAGAGTTAGTGAACACCTAAGCATCCACTTGGGATCACAGGGAGCAAAATTAAAGTGGGCTGAATGTGGTGGGTGAGAAAAAGTGAAGGGAAGGTTAAGGCTTAAGCTTAGATCTTCAGAATGGGATGGGGCCACTGGCTGAAGAGGGAAAGGGTTGGGAGCTGCCAGGACAGGGTGGTGGGTGGAGCAGGATCAGAGATCCATACCGGTTGCTCTGTGCTTGGTGTTTAAACCTGCACAGAGAGGCTAGGTGATGGGGCATCCAGGGAAGAAGGCCAGGTAGGAGAAGGTGACTACACTGTTAGCACAGGAGGATGTTGAAGTGCTGCATGCGGATGGACTACTCTACTGCTGTGCTAGGATGGGAGGCCAACCAGGATGGTCAACTCAGCACCAGGAACAATTTAAAGGGATAGAGTTTAAAAGGGAAGACACTTTATTTGTAAGAAGGAAAAAGCAGAAGTCAGAAAACTGCCAGAAGTGAGGTGAGGATCCCCCGGGCCTTTGTCCTCAGCTTCCTCTTATCAGGTGATAAAGACCCTCCCAGGCCCCTACCTGGAATGTATCACAACCCTATTTGCTCTCTAGACTATCATATATGGATCCCAGGCCACAAGACCCTGGGTGTCACTGCTTACATCTACATTCCCAGGTGAGGTTTTCTTTCATTTATCTCTGCCCACCTGTTCTTATTAGGGCCTTACCTCTGGAATTGATAGGTTGGTTAGGAGGGACCTTACAGACAAGGCGAAGTGAGTGATTAAGTAAGGGTATGTGTGTATATCTAGTGCAGTAATATGGTGATCCTAGATATATATATATATATATATAATATATATATATATATATATATATATATTATATATGTTATATATATGTTATATATATGCTATATATGTGAGTTATATACATATATATACATATATATGTATATATATATATATATGGTTTTCCTTAAAGTGAGTCACCCTTCCCCCTTTTGTCTTCTTTACATTTTATTAGAGGTGGGGAGGGATCTACCTTGCTTTCAAGCAGCTGGCCCCCTTTGTAGTCTGTCAGCACCCCACTCTGATTCTTCTATGTAAGCCCCAGTGCCATTGGTACTTTTTAAAATCTGGGTATTTCTCTCTGTCTTTATACTTTTAATGGCTCCTTCCAGGAACATTTAGACTCTTCTATTCAGGGTTGGACAGATAGGCTAAGGAGGCCTTCATTCTGTTCTTTCCCTGTCTTCTGCAGGGCATCGATTTCCCTATAGAAGTCCCAGGGGTAGTTTGGGCAGAGCCATGATACGTGAGGTCTAGGTGACTCAGACCTCTAGTCTCTTCCATGTGAAGCTTATGGATCTTTGTCAAAACACATAAAACAAAAGCATAAGAAAGCATAGTAAAAAAAAAAAAAAGCATAGTAATAGTGCAATTGAAATAAAAATATAAACACGCAAATTTCTTGAAAAAGCTGTAGGGGGTTATCTAGTGGTGAAGTTGCTAATGTCCATAATTCCAAATCTACAGTGAGGGTTCTGCACTGTGACCCCCTGGGCTGAATATGAAGATGTCTGTGATTGCTACAGGCCCTGAAATCACATAGGACGGTTCTGGTCTGTGTCTAAGCTCGTGAGTGAAAGAAGTGTGAACTCTCAGTTATTAATAGTGGACAAAATCCTGAAATTTTTAAGTCATTCAAGTTCATGAACCCAATGCATTTTCCCCAGAACATAGGTGTCCAGGGATAGGAGGAATTAGGGACAGAGACCTCTGCAAGTGCTTCTGCTGGCCATGCCACTGGTGGCTTCATAGCACAGAATAAGAAATGTCCTTAGAGTGTGTTGACAAACAGGGCCCTGACAAGGGGTGTGAAAAGAGCCAGGAGTGGGAATTCCTGTGGGTGGAGAGATATTTTGGGGAACAAATACAAGAATTCAAAACCACAGCTAGTGTTTAAGCTTTTGTGTCAGCATGAAGTGCTCCACAGCTATATATTAGTGTGTTTAAGTTAGTGTGGGTGTGGAGGAGGGAACATGGAACTTGAGGCTGCAGGAAACATGGAAACTGGAGAGGTTGCTGGCTGGACTGTGGTTGTTTCCAGGTAGGAGCTGGGCTAGTGCATTTGTGCACTGGGAGGGACCAATAGGTGGCGATGACGCTGAGGAAGGAGGCTGAGATCTGAGGGCCAAAGGCTGGGGAAGCTCCAGCCCCTGCATTCTCCATGCTCAGGCTTCTCACCCTGCAGCCAGTGTCAGATGGAGCCAGAGGCTGTCGAAGGGCAGAGGCAGGGATGCCTGAGCCCCTGTGTCAGAGGCCTGGGTGGGCCTGGGTGGGCCTGGGAGCTTGTATTTCTAACCAGCTCCCAAGTGGTGCTAGTCTCGGCACCCATTTGGAAGAAAGCCCTGCTGTAATCAGCCTAGCACCACCAGGTGCACACTGGGGTACACAAGGACATGTGACCTGCAAAGGCAGAGGTGGGGGTAGAGGTCTGCCAGAGAGTCTAGGGAGAAGAGGAGATGAAGCAGGCAGCAGCCCCCGGGCCCCAGCTGTTCTCACTGCCTGTCCCTGGGGAGCTCTGCTTTTCCTAAGGACTTGGGAGCCACTCCATGACATCTTTGAAAACTGAGCAAGAGAGTGAGGGAAGGCATTATGGGCAAAGTAGAGAAGGTGCCCCGAGCCTACCACACAGGGCAGACAGGGTATTGAGGGGGGAGGTAGATGGGGCATTTTCTCTGAAGCAAGCTCAGAGCCTGAGGACTCACTGTTCACTTTACAACCTGAGTATGGCTTTAGCCCAACCCTGAGTTCTGGCTTGTAGGAAAGAGCAGCCCTGTGGGATGAACTATACCATGTGGGGTCCCAGGGCCCTCAGCCACCATGGCAACCCTGCTTGGCCGGCAGCCAAGGCTAGAGAGCATGCACAGGCATTTGTCCCTGCAAACTGTACAACAGAAAGATGCATGCCCAGCCCCTACTAGTTGCTCCAGGGATGACAGGGTGACAAGGGGAGAAGGGCTGACAGAGCCAGAGGTCAAGGGAGTCATTGGCCTGGCAGGTGATGGGGAGGTCAGGTAGAGGGGTGTTGTGAGTAGAGGGCTGACATTTGGAAAGACTGCTGAGTAGGAGATGGATTATAGGGGACAAGGCTGGGCCAGGAAGCCCTGTGAGGAGGCCAGTGCATTATACTTCCGGAGAGACAACAGAGGCTGGGGCCACAGAGGAGGCCACTGAGAAAAGTGGCCAGGGACCATGTGGATGGGGTAGGTGATGGCATTTGTGGATGGACAACATGTGGGCTCAAGGATAGTCCTATGGAGGCCTGGAACTGCTGTGGGCAGTGATAAGGGAAGGTGAAGGAAGCAGATCAGGTGGGACAGTTGAGTGAGTGAGTAGCAAGGGGCCCCAGGAGCTCATGACTTGGAGAGTGGCTCTGGGTCTGAAAGTGTCAGTGGTGACAGGCCTGTGGGGAGGCTGGTGACAGCTGATAGGCTCCTGCAGGGCTCACAGAGCCCCCTCCCTAACACTTGCTGTGCAGGTCCTGAACCAGGTGTTGTCCATGGAGCACCAGATGCTGGAGGCTTTGAGTACCACTGACAAGCAGGAGAAGGACATGCAGGAGCAGAGTAACAGACTGAGAGCCTTGTATGGCCGCAACAGGTGGGTGCTTGAGTCTGGTTTCCGTGAAGCAGGGGGTGAGCTACTTGGAACCATGCTCAGGAGCTGTCTGCACCTAGGCTGGGGCTGGGCCAGGGGTGGAAAGACTGTAACCAGAATTGGAGTCCAGAGGAGCTGGGAGCATAGTGCACAAAGAGCCCAGGCTGGGGCCGAACTGGGGACCAGACAGGCCCAGGAACTGTCCCACAGCACTGAGTGGGGACAGAGAAGTGGTGTGTTCTTGGGGCTCAGGCCACTTTGTTCTGCCTTTCTGTTTTCTTCCCTTGTTTGCCTTATTTTTATAAGCTTAACTGCTTCATCAACTGGTAGTTTACACACCATGCAATCCATGTACATTTTCATTGGATTTGCTGATCTGCAAAGAAATAAGCTGATCCAGTCCACCTGCTCCCCTTCCCTGAGGACACCACAGCAATCAGTTTCTAGTGTGAAAGTCAGAGTCACTTCATTATATGTAATACTGTGGTAGGTCTGTAGTTTAAAATAGTAGTGGGGTGTAGATAAGGCAGTGAAATCATATACCCCCATCTGATTTGATGTTGGATTCCAGATGAATGGAGAGAAAGCTGCAAGGTCAGAGTTCTGAGAGGCAAATCCTACTCAGTAAACAACCTTGCCAACAGGATGAGACATTACTGCTTGCACATGCTTGCTCCCAGCATTCAGGCAGCAAGAACTTGGGTGGATTTGGTCACTTGGAGTTGAATGGCTGTATAAAAATCCATGGAGATGGAAGACATCATCGATTAGCTCCTGATCCCTGAAGAAAGTAGAATTCTAGAGTTGCAGAGTGCCCAAGTTTTAATTATGAATTGAGGCCTACAGGAAGGTACTTATGCCCTGGGTGAATTTAGGGCCAAGTTTAAGAGAGAGTCTGCAAGCCTGGATCTAGAATAAATACTTGCCTCCTAGTCTTATCCCTCTGCCTCTGGGTTACTAGAACCAGATTCACTGTCTGATTTGTCTGATTCCTGGAATCTCAGCTGAGTGACCTCTGCCCTTCACTGTGCCTCAGTTCACATCATGCCTCCCTAGTCCATGCCTACTATGGACAGGGGCTGCAGTATGTGTGACCGCACACACGATGCTTCCCCATTCTGGGTCTCTAGCTTTGAGTGTCATTGAGGTGCTGGACAGTGAGTTTTTCCCTATCTCCCCTTCCATACAGTTACCTTGATCCTATAATGCGCATTGCGGAAGCACAGCAGGATTCCCAGCTGGTTGGCCTCCAAGATGTAAGGAAACAGATACAGCAGCTGCTGGACCTCCAGAACAGCACCCTCACCAGCATCCAGGACAGCTTGCAGGCTGTCAGCAGCACATCCGGCCTCCGGCATCAAAAGCAGCGCCACCTCCTAGAGACCCTGCGAGAGCTCATCCATCTAGCGGACCACGGCCCAGGTGATCAAGCTGGGAGTCTGGGGTGGGAGGCCGGGAACAAGGGCAGTAGCTCTGTTCAGCTGCCAGGGTTGCTTTGGCATTGTATCTCTCCTGAGAAAGGCCATACCCTGCTGGCCATCTGCACAACAGAAATAACAATGAGTAGTAATTATAATAATGACAGTGATGGTTCTAAGAGATGCCCATCCTGACTCTGACTCTTGATTCCACAGGTGCCTGGCTCCTCCCCCAGCCCACCTCATTCCTGGCCTCAGTTTCCCCATCTTTTCAATTGAAGTGATGTTGTTAACAATGACAGGAACAGCACATTTGGCTTCTAGGACCCACCCTCAGCCCCCCTTGTTTGGGCTAACCCTAAGAACACTTTGGCATCAGTTTCCCCATAGGATAAGGATACGACACTCAGTTCACCCCAAGCCCTGCTAGTGCTCTGCTCAAAGCCCTAGAGAGCCACAGAGAGGGCAGGAGGCCTCCCAGCCTGACCGGAGAAACCCTCCTCCTCAGCACTCACTGCTGCTCCTGCAGGTCACTTGGGGGCCAAGGCTTTCTGATTCCAACTTCAGTCACCCAGTGCACGAACGTTGACTGTGTACCCAAGGGAAACCAGGCCCAGCACTAGGTATGGGAGATCCAGCCATGCACAAAGCAGGCCACCCTGTTTCTTGAAAATGAACAAAGAATTCAAACCCCTAGGTGGGCCTCAGAGGGAGGGAGGAAACAGTTCTTTGCGAGCACCTCCTTTGTGCCAGATGCTCTGCTCGTCTTCCTGCCCCTGTGCTTCCCCATTCAGGACCTGCACACAGGAGGCGGGGAGCCCACCCTGTCCCTTCCCTCTCCTTGATCATCTCCAGCTGACTTTTGCTTGGTCCTTTTGCTGCCTCCACAGGTGCAGCTGTGCCGGGGCTCCAGGACTGTCAGGATATCCACAAGTTTGGGCTCAATGATGACAGTATCTATACCATCCTGGTTCCAAATGTGATAGAGCCCAAGAGGGTAAGGGGATCCTGACCTAGGGTGTCTGTGTGTCGGTGTATCAGTGGGGGCTGAGCCAAGGGCCTTCCAGATGGGCTGCCTTGGGGTTGGAATTTGTGTGGTATCTGAGGTACCAGTAAACTTGGGGATCTCTAAATTCTGGAGCACCTAGGCAGGGTCAGACCACGGGGCAACATGCAGAAGATCCCAAAGTAGAAGTGCCTTCTTCCAGAGAGGCCTCTTATTGGAATAGCAGGAAATATCTCTGTGCTGGTTAAGCTCATGCTTACTGATAGAACAAGGAAACCGCAATTCCAGGGACTCAATACAAGGGTTTATTTCCAGTGGAAGGTAGGAAGTGGGGCTCTGCTCCATGCAGGACATTATGACTGTGACCCTCTGAGACACCACCGTCCTCAGTGAGCACCTCCCAAGTTGGCTCTGAGGGGCAGTTTGGAAGAGATCCCTGTTCAGGCAGACCTGGGACAGTGAGAGGGGAAGAGAACAAGAGCAGCCGCCCATTGGTCCTGCTGTGTAGTCCTCTGCACTTTTCTTTTGCTTCTTCAGGGTGTATTAAGGAGAGGCTCTCTTGTCCCCAGAGTGTCTTTCACACTTCTCATACATCTACTAAACGACCCTCCTAGGAAAAAGATTTCAGTCCAAGTGCCCTCTGTTGACAAAAATTTCTATCTAGAATTTCACAATGCTTTGTTTCATTGAAATTACTTTTACAATCATCTGAATAAAAACAAGTGTTATTGCTTTTCCATTTATGGAAATATATCATATATATTTATGATATATCTGGGTTTATAAAAAATTTATCCAAGGGCTGGCTAGATAGCTCAGTGGATTAAAGCACCTGCTTAGGCAGACACAGGGACTGGGGTTCAATCTCCAGTGTGCTGTGCCCAGCCCCACCCCCAGAGTGTGCTGAGGCAATTCAGACTGGACGTGGTGGTGCACACCTGTAATCCCAGCACTTGGGAGGCTGAAAACAGTAGGATCACTATGAGTCTGATCTGTGTAGTAACACCCTGTACTAAATATATTTTTAAAAAAATTCAGGGCCAAGTGCCAAGTCACATTCCTGGAATACTGAACATGTACTGAACTGATAGAAAACTATTAAGAGCAACTGGAACAATAGTTAGCTTGAATTGTGTAGTTGTGATAGACATTAAGCTTTTTGAGAGAAAGGACTCCTTTTTTTGTTTCAACCATGTTAGCTTTCCCAGGGCTTTGAACAGAGCCTCACGTACATACTTGGCAAAGCATTGTGTCCTGAGGAACAGCAGTAACAGCATTTCCTGCTTCTGCAGAGTGGCTAAGCCCTTTATGCCCATCCTTGTTTAATCCTTCCAGCAACCTGCAGCATTAAGGAGTGAGAAGCTGCCATTCATTTTTCTCCTGTTATGTGCTGGGCTCTCTTTTAAACATTCACAGGACCAACCTCATTTAACTCTCGCAGTAATGAGGAGAAACTGAGGCACAAAGAGGTTAAAGTGTGAACACCCCATTTCACAAGTGAGGCCAGGCAGCTGTGGGAGAGCAGCGCTGGCCATCACTTTAGGAAAAGATGAGGACAGATGTCCATTGGAGCCAGGATCCTTTTCACGAGCTCGACCACCTTTTGCTCCGTGAGGGGTGGGGGTAGGGTCCCAGCCGAGTCGCCTTGTGCTGCCCTGGACCTGGCTTTTGGCTATGCCCAGAGGATTCCAGCTGCACCCCATTTGCCAGGTGTTATGTGTGATGGGCACCAATGGAGGAGATTGGACTGTTATCCAGCACCGTGAGAATGGCACAGTGAATTTCCACCGAAACTGGCAGGACTACAAGCAGGTAACTTAGCAACCTGGGAGGAGTCTTTGCAGCTCTGAAGCCTGGTGCTCAAGTGTTGGCGGGGGGAGTGGAGCTGGTCTTACCCTCGCCCCTGGAAAGAGAGCACACTCCTAAGCCACCTACCATCTAGCAGATCTGCCCAGTGGCCATGCATTTCCCTGTCCTCTGAAAAGGAACCTTTTTTTTTGAAATTTCTGACTTACTTCCTAGGAATAAAGTTTTGCTCTTATTTCAGTTTTTGGAAAAAATATACATTGCTAAGCTTACTTTTTTTCATGTACAAAGGAGGCAATCAAAGAGAAATAGCATCCACACCCCAGGCCACGTTGCTTAAACGAATTGCTCTCCCATTTTAGGCATCTGTGCCCACACCTGCAGGTACAGTTCGCTAATATGAAATCACCAGTTCAAAGAGCTTGTGCCTTTTATAAGATGAGTTACACTGTCTCATCGCTTTCTAGTTTTTCTAATTAAATTTTCAGTCAAGCATATGTAGCAAGTTGACATGAACATACTTAATCTTCTGAAGAGTAAAAAAAATAGGAAAAGTTACCTCCAAGGCAACACAGCAATCCATGATCTGCGTCTGCTTGCTATTCCATTTGATAAACAAACATTAACAGCAAATTAAGTCATTAGTGTTCTTGAACCAATTGAGATCTTAAAAAAAAAAAAAACATCAAAATGATAAAGGCAATTCAGGGGTTCTTATGCAAAAATACACAAAAGAAGGCTGAATGTCAGCCCTTAGCTAATAAGTGATGCCTCATCCCACCCATGGGGAGCGGGGCTCAGCGTGCCCTGTCCTTGGTGCTGAACGAACTTTCTGCTGGAGCTTCGGATTCTTGCACCAGGACACTATTGACGAGACACTCCATGTGCTCATAGGTTTTTATACATTTTTATGTTGCTGAGGATTTGCATTTTATTCCTTGTCCTGAAACAAGTCTACACTACATTTCATTGCCTGGTAAAAGTATTTATTTATCTATTTTTTGGTTTTTTGTTTGTTTGTTTAACCTCCTTACTTATGCACGTAAGTGCACAAATATGAAATGTATGGCTCAATAATTCCTCGTGTGTTAACCCATGTTACTCACTCAGACACAGAAATGCAAATCTTCCAGCACTTGAAGAACCCTCCTTGTGCCCCCCTCCACCCAGCAGCCCCTCAAATGTAGTTGCTATTCTGGTTTCTATCAACAAAGATAAATTTTCTCTGTTCCTGAGCTTCCAAGCAACCTGATTTAAGTTATTTGTAATTTTTTTTTCGGAACTGGGAATTGAACTCCAATCCTTGCACTTGCCAGGCAAGTGCTTATTCTACTGAGCCATCTCCCCAACCCTCAGTTATTTGTAAATAGGATTTTACATTTACAAATACGTTACTCTTTTTCCTCTGGGAGATGGTGGTCTCTCCCTAAGACTCCTTATGTTGATTATTAGAAATAGCAGTTTGGGATAAGTGGCCTCAGAGGATTACCCAACCTATCTGCCTGCCCAAGGACACAACCTCCCTCTTGGCACTCAGCCCACTCTATCTTCCCCACACCATAGGGCTTTGGAGACCTATCTGGAGAGCACTGGCTGGGAAATGAGGTGGTGCACCAGCTTAGCAGCAGCAAAAACTACTCTCTGCGTGTGGAATTGGAAGACTGGGATGGCAATATGTTCTACGCCAACTTCGAACATTTCCAGCTGGGCAGTGAGGAGCAGTTTTACAGGTGGGTTTAGTGGGTGATCTAGGGTCCCATGCCAGTGACTGAAGAGTTGGTGAACAGGTCAGTGCCTGGGTGTCTCCTTTTTCTATCATATGTCCCCAATTTGGGCCCTCTCCACAGGATCTGGAGCCAGGTGGTTATCATTCAAGACACCTTGACCACTGGGTGGGTTGCAGAGAATGTCACTGATGTCACCATCCCCAGAGTAGGAAGGACATTCCAAAGACAACCACACCAATTCAGTCATTGGCACAGACCCAAGAGGGAGGAGTGTCTTCTCTAGTCTGTTCCTTGCCCTGTGGTGAGCTGCAAATGTCCTCAGGCTGGGAGGCCGGAGACTGACACTTTTTGGCAGTGTAGAAGCTCTCATTTGGGTAAATCCAGATCAAGTTGCTCTGAATCTCAGTGTATCCAAAGCAGAAGCAGAATGGCCTTGGATATGAGGATACTACAAAATCTTCACATTTCTCTACTCCTTCCTCAGTCTGGTTACTGATATCTTTAGGAAAAGAAGTGAGAAATTCCTAAAATCCTATTGTGCCCAAAAACCCCATTTAACCCCTCCCATAACACTTTCAGATGGGTTGTTACTATGCCTACTTTAGTAAATTGAAAACTGAGATATCTAAGTCTCTTGCCAAAAGTACATAGGTGGTCTGGACTTGAACTCAGGTCTCCCTGTCCCTCGAATTCAATATACATAATGCAACTATGGGAATCTCTCAGTGTCATGTCTGTTCTCCCATCTTCTTATCAAATGGTCTGCTTTTCCCAGTGAGGTGAATCTGACACCTCTCCTTAAAGGACCCTCCTCAACTAGATCACCTTCCTCCTGAACTGCTACAACAACCTGGTGGTTCCTACTCAAGTCATAAAACACAGACTGCAATTCTAATGGCAGCCCTTTCTCCCTGAGTGACCTGAGAAAGTCTCTCCCAATTCTCATCTGTAAAATGGTTCTCTAGGCTGGGGCTTGAAAGACGTGTCATTCAGAGAGCATTAGTGCAGTGAACACAGTGCCTGCCCACAGTGACCACCCAGAAAATAGTGTCACAACTGCCGACCCCGTGGCAGTCCTCCTGGCCTCTGGGAGCCATGGCCTGCTTGTACTGAACCCATTCTTAGGCCTGTCATGTTAAACACGTAGGAGGATGTGGAGGCAGCCTGCCAAATGTTTCCCACAAGTAGCCACTAAGTCTCCTCTCCTTGACCTAATTCTTGGGCAACAGCTTCTGTGGTACTAAGCCAGAAGCTGCCATTCACATGCATTAGGGCAGAAATGCCAGAAAAAATATCGCATTCCACTCAAGAACACAGGCTTTGGAGCCAGGCTGCCCAAGGATCAAGACCATCTCATCACTTATTTGTAACATACCCTTAAAATAGCTACTTGATCTCTCTGTACTTCAGTTTCCCCATCTATAAAATGTAATGTCTGCATTATAAATGAGATAATCTGGAGTAAGCCACTTAGATTACAGCAAATGTTAAGTAAGAATTGGAGATGTACAAATGATATCATCAAAAACATAAATATCACATTTCTGCCTCAATGCATAAAGTACAATCTCCATGCAAACATATGTATATGTGTTAAATTCGGAAGCTCCTATCCTGACTGCATGTGTGAATTGCATGGGCTTTCAGTGGCTTTTTATCCGAGACTCAGAGAGCTGCCTAGTTCCAGGCAGCTATGTCTGGGCTTGAAATGGCTCTCATCGCCTAGTGATCTGCAGATCCTCAAGACGCAGGATATGGAACACTTGCCCTGTGCTAACAGGTGCTGGCTTCATCATCTGTGGCAGAGTAAGACCTTGTCCCCATATAATCAAAATTGCTCTGGTATGGAATGATGGTTGTGGGGTGAATCATTTCTGTAGTTGACCCAGATCCCCAAAGGGACAGTGGTTGCAAATGGGATGTCCTAGGGTCCCAGGGATGCTGTGCCCTTGGAAAGACTCTCAGCAAGAAGAGATGACTGTTAAGAGTAGACTCTTCTTATACAGTAAGCAGAGAGGAGGGGCACTGCAGGGAGTGGGCATGGCTTGAAAGAATGCAGAGGCAGCCTCCAGCTGATCCATCCCAATCTTAAGCATGAGGAAGAGGGTGCTTGGATCATAGAGTAGCTGCTTATTGAAGAAAATCCTGGCAGACAAGGAGCAAAGACAAATAGATGCTGGGACCCAGGCTTTACACTCCAGGATCTAGAGCACCTTGGGGTGGAAGAGTCTCATAGGGAAACTCAGTCACGACTGGGTGTCGGGGTAAAGGGGACATGGCAATGTAGACATGGCAATGTAGAGCTCCTGTTACCTGGCATAGGGGCATGAAGAGCCTGCAGAGAAAGTGGTCTTATAAAATGGTATCACCATATTGTAGAATTCAAGAGATCAGAGAGATCAAAGGAAAAACAGGAGGGAGGATTTTATTTCAAGGATTTAGGCACATAGCAGCTCAGTTGCTTGGCCTTCTGGTGTCCCAAATGGCTGAGCATTGGAGAAAGACAAGGTCTAGCTTTGTATTTTTGGCCCAGGGGGTGGGCCTTCAGTGTAGAATTTGTGGGTAAACAGCAGAACAAAGACAGTTTGTTGTGCTATGCTGGCCCTGTCCCCCGGGGCATCCTGAGATGGTGAATGAGACTTGGCATGGTGGCATGCTCTTGTAATCCCAGTGCTTGAGAGGCTCTAAAAGGAGGATCACTACAAGTCTGATCTGTGTAGTGAGACCCTGTAGACCCTGTACTAAATACATAAAAAAGACAGTTTGTCAAGCTGTGCAGGTTTTGTGTCTTGGTGGCTCTGCACAGATGTAACAGGACATTGTGGCAATAGGAGTTTATAAAATTTTACTTACACGGACAAAAGTTACTGCTTAGATCTGTACTGGGACACAGGTGCAGTTGCAGGAAGGTTTGGGAAACTTGACCTTTTCTTTTAAGTCCTGCTTTATCCAGCCACACAAAGACCAAGATCGCTGTCAACATTTCTGTGGTTAATGCATGCACAGGTGAAGAGACTGAGGCATGGAGAGGTGAAGGTGTCCTCCCACAGCTATTCAGCCACAGCGTGGCAGAGCTCGGGTCTGAATCCAAGTTGATGGCATTGGTAACAGGCTCCCTTGGCTGTGCTTGCTAGGAATTCAGATCTGACAAGGGAGCTGCCTGCTGATGTACAGGTCAAGGGGCTGGGAGTGCCTTGGCTGTAGGTCCGTGTGACCTGGTGCCCTCAGGAAGGGCTTGCTGGAAGATGCAAGTGGACTTAGGAGTTATATTGGGGTAGGGTACAAGATGATGAGCAAGCAACAAAATGCACATGGGTCCCAAATCAGGCCGTACTGGGGTAGAATCTGCCTCTGACCCTCCCTGGTCTTGAGAACTTCAGCAGATGCTTGGGCTCTCTGGATCTCGTCTCCTTCTCTGGAAAGGATGTCATGAGGCTTAGATGAAAACAAATTAACCTTTCTCTGAGATAAAGGCTCAGAAACTGTCAGCTGTTGCCCTCATTGTGGTCATTGTGACCGCTCTCCAAGACCCAGTTGGTGAGATGAGGAGGGCACAAAAAACAGCAGGTGCTTTCTTTCTGAAAGGCAGAAGCAGGGGAGGAGTCTGAGGAAAATGGCCCAGGAGCCACGCCCAGGCTGAGGCTCTCTTTCAGGGAGCAATAGGAGGGAACCCTAGCCTTGGCAAAGCTGCTGAGGGAGGCCCTTCCTTAACATGGCCCTTCCCAGCCTGACTCCACCCTCACCTATCTCAACCTCCATCTGGCCTCTAGGATTTTTCTAGACAAGTACAGTGGTGCAGCATCTTTTGGAGAACACCAGATCCTGAAAAGCAACAACTTCAGCACCATCGATGCAGACCATGACAATTGTGCCTGCAATTGTGCAGAGGCGCTGAGTGGAGGTGAGTTAGGGTCAGCTGTGTCTTTTCTTAAAGGCCCTAAAGTTCCCTTCAGGCCACCTCCCCTCCTAGCTTTGGCATTGAAGAAAATCCAGGGCACAGCTCCCCCCACCTCTGGCTCAGGCAGTGCTCCTGGGATGACACAGAAGTCTGAGAGTGGGAGATGGGATGAGTCCGAGTCAGAGCAGAAAGGACTGAGGAGAGACCTGAACCACAGACACAGGGACAGATGAGGCAGAGAGGCAGAGGCTAATAGGAATGAGAGCAGTGAAGACAGATTGGGCAGGGGAGGCACAGGGCAAGTTGGAGAGGAAGGCCTGCCTGGACACAGCCAAGAGAGGCCTGAGTACATGGAACAGTGACCTAGGAGAGACAGAGTGACACAGGTCAGACACAGATGGCCAGCAGGGAAAGATGTCCTCTGCTGAGAGAAGAACACAGTGTGACACATGCCCAGAGGCCACTAAGAGGGAGAGACTCACATAGAGACAGAGAGAAGCCACCAGATACCAATAGAAAGGGACATGCACAAGAAAGGGATTTAGAAGAATGGGAGGTCAGTGAGGGTGGGACAGACTCTGGCAAGGAGGGGCAGGGAGGTCTGTAGGGGTGGCCAGAGCTCCTACTGCCCCTAGACAGTTGGGCTGAGGTGACGGTCACTACTTTCTACTTATCTGTTTACCCAAGTAGCTCCTGAAGGATCAACAGCCCTGCTCATCTGAGCCCCTCTCTTCCACAGGGTGGTGGTTTGACAACTGTGGTCCCTCCAATCTCAATGGCATCTACTACCCAGCCGGAGAACACTTGCACAAGGTTAATGGTGTCCGCTGGCACCACTCCTTGGAGGACCCCACATACTCACTTCGCTCATCCCGCATGATGATCCGGCCCTTATCCAGCTAGTGAGCATGGTGTGGAGGCCAATCAGTGTTGTCTATCTGTATAATAAAACCAGAAATAGCATCTACATCATGCAGGTTCCTGCAGGTCAAGAAGACTGTGGATGTGGCCACCCCAGGGTGGCTAGCTATGTTCTTAGCTAGTGATAATGGCCCTACATCAGATAATGTTAGTTTCCTATTGTGTAAAACATTCAAGTCTGATGTCACACATGGCTCCAACTGACCTGACTCATTAAAGAATATCATGTAGATTAAAATAATGATGCTGTGGATGGACTCTGTGGTTGTGGCATACTAACCCACTTTCTCTGAACCTCTGTTCACTCCTGTATGAATGCAGTCCTCACAGGATGGCAAGGATGATAGATGATATGGTGTACGTGTGTGTGTGTGTGTGTGTGTGTGTGTGTGTGTGTGTGCATGCACACACATGTGTGATATTTGACAGCTGATTGGAGGTAAAACTGTGGGGTCTGATATCTCTCCCACTGCACAGAACAAGCTGAAAAATCCCAGGCAGATGCCTCTTCTCCTGCATCTCTCACTGATTTCCTCCTCATGTTCAGCAGGTAGAGGGGCAGATAAGTAAAATAGTGTTGCTCAAGGAGAGGATGCTGTGTCTTTTCCCCTGCCCTTCTAGTCCCCTCCAGAAATTCAAAGCCCCTGTGAGGGAGCTGAGAAGGCAGCTTGTCCTGCTGAAGACCCTGCTGGAAATCTTCCTTAATTTGCATCAGCCCAGGGCTCCTGTGTGCTGGGGAGGCAGACAGGAGGGGATGAAGAGCTGCAAAGTGTGCAGGTGCCCCTACGTGAGCAATGTAAGGAAGTCTGCTCAGGTTTAACTTGCAAGGCCAGTCTTGGTAGAACACATTCTGAGACTCAGAAGCCTTCATCTCAAATCATGATAGCACAAAATAAGTACCCTTTGTTCATTTGACACACAGGACACATCCAATACGTGTCAGGCACTGTGCTTACATTGGAGGATAAGACAGTATCGTGGGGAGGTTTGTGTTTCCATGTATCTTTCTAAAATGTTCCTACAGTGATGGGATTTTTCTTTTAGCTTTGTTTAGTAAAACAAGCAAATGTAAGGGAGAGGTTTTAGCTTCTTGGTTTTACATGAAGTCTAGAAAAGATCCTGGCACATAGCCAGTGTTTGTGAAACACTAGAAGAAGGAAGGGAGGGAAGTCGATACATGGAAGGATGCCACTGCTCTTTTCTAAAGTTAGAGATGTGATGTGAGGCCTGACTGAGGCCATGAGAATGCAGAAAAGAGAGACAGAGCAGTTAGCATAACCTAGAAGCACTAGACAGTGCCCTAGCCAACTACTTTGGGAAGGTAATAAGAGCTGCAGGGGTGCAGGGCAGGTTTGACAAGGCCACCTGCTCACCAAGACCAGGGCTGAAAGATGTTACTTAAGATGCACCGTGTGTGGGCCCACATGAATGCTATCTCAGGACAGGGCGATTTTTCCCAGCATGCTGAATCTTCATTCTACAATCTGTGCAGCAGCTCTAGGGTTCCCTTGGGGGCTGGGGTGTCCTTTGAGGACACCTTTAGTGTCCTCAGTGAAATTGTCTGGGTAGGGCATGGTGATTCCTGAACACTTTCCTCAGTGTTAAGATATTCACAAAGCACTGGTCTTGGACACCCCCACCCCATCCACCAGTGTTATCATTTCTGTGACTGCAGTTCACCCATTGGCTGTGAGCCCCACAGGAGCAAAGGCTCTATCTCATTCACTCCATGCTGCATGCTTTGCCTGACCCTGCAGACGCTCCTGAGCAAATGTTCAAGGGCATAATAAGCCGAATGACACAGTCCCTTCTCTTTCTAATACTGGGTGACACCAGACAGCTTTTGTACCTCCTTGACTCTGGGTGTCCTCTGGTGCAAAGGAGTACCCCACCCAGGCCAGGTGTCCCTGTCTACACATTCAGCTTCCAGGAAACACCACTTGGTTTTTCTGTAACTGAACATAATTTGAACTCCTATTCTAGATCTCCTTGTCATCTGAGTACCGCCTGGCTCTTTGATGGTGGGGTTCTGTCCCAACATCCCAGAGATTACACAGTGAGAATACAGTTGAGGGTACCTAGGTCTCCATAGACCTCACTTTAGGCACATCTGTTACTTGAAGACCCAATGTCTTTTGTCATCAGGAAGCATCACAAAGATCCAGCACCCTAAGGAAGAGTACCACACTTTCCTCCTGCACCCATGAATCTCTGTGTAGGCACTGCTGGGTTGGTGTGGCTTTATGTTGTCTTTTCCTAAGATATCTCAGTCACCTAATTCTGCCATAGCTCCAGCTAGGGTAACTTCACTCCTTCTGGAGGGGAAGGGAGCAGCAAGTGTTTGGACATGGGGAAGGCTGTGCCTATGCTTATCTTGTGGACCCATGAACACATATAGCTGCAAAGGAGCCAGGACACACAATCTTTCCTTGTAGACAGTGTGAATTCTACAAATCAGCTTTATGACCAGCAGAAGAATGCACCTGGGAGAGGACAGCTCAGCCCAGTGTGTGGGTCTCCAGTGTTCTCAGAAACCCCTCTGATGTGTGCAAAATGTTTTGCCTCCCCCTGCTCATGGCCTCAGTTCAGGGAAGGGGGCTGAGGGAAAAGAAGAAGAAGAAGAAGAAGAAGAAGAAGAATTCAGTTCATTCTAGGCCACCATAGAAGCTAACCTTTTGTTCTTTCAATGTAGTTTTTTAGAGTATTTTAAATAAAATGATTAACAAGTCTTCAGAAGACACAAAGAAAAACCAACAGCTAAACAAAATGATTTAAAATATGAATAAGCAGTGTAGAAAAATTAGAGCCCATAAAATGATCAAAATAGAAGTGTAGGAAAACTTGTTTGCTGAAAATATTAGCATGAAAAGGAATTCAAGTACTTTGAGACAGCACACACATAAACAAACAAACAACTATGGCTTCTGGGAACATGCAAGGATGATTAGCTTTTCTAAAAAGCATAAAGGTAAAAGAATTTGCTTTGAGAGGAGATCCCAGGGAAACATGTTCCAGAAAGGAACTGACTTATTTTCTAAGATTTAGTTTAGAGATTTAGGATTCTGGAACCCCCAGCAAGATGGTAAAGGGCCCCAGCTACTACTCTGCCCTTCAGCAGACCATGGCATCGCCCATGTGGTACTGGTTTCATATGCATGCACAACACAAGAGTTGTGGGATCAGAAAAGCTTTACCCAGATTTCAGAAGAACATCTGAGGAGTCAGACTACATGCCCCCAAGGTGGCAGAGCATGAAGCACTGAGGCTGAAGCCTGAACTGCCCTGGGGAGCCCAGTGTGTTGGAAAATCCAGGAACTTTGAAGGTCTGAGGAAAACCACAAGAATTGAGCAAGGCAGCCAAAAAGATAGGCCTTTAGGACTATGAGTACTTTTTCTCCTCAGTTTTATATCCTAGGTGCAAGTTCCAGAGCAATAAAAAGCAATCCCTGTTTCAACTTGTACTAGATGTGGGTAGGAGCCCCTGATGATAGCTACACTGAGAAGTAGACCATTACTCAGAGCCTAGCAGGATGACAAGTGTCTCACCTCATCCCCAAGAGCATGTGCCCATAGACACTCAAGAATATGAGTGACAATCAAAATAAGTGAATATTTACATAAAAATATATTAAAAGACCCTTTGCCATTAACCCCTTCAAAATACTTCTCACAGTCTTTGAACACATTTATCACATCATTCTTGCCACATTATGAAAAAGTTCTAGAAGTCCTTTTTCATGAGTATTTTCATGAGTTATGATCAGAAATATGATGAGGCTTTCAAAGCAAGCGACAGCCCTACAGCCTGCACAGCTGAACATCTGCTAGCACCAAGGAAGCTCTTGCTCCTCCTTGGCACAGGAGAGCAGAGGTGAGGACTAACTGGCCAGCCTGATTTTGGATGAGAACAACACTGTGGGAGACACAATGACCCAGAGAGCTAGCACACCCAGAGACAACGTAAGGACCTGGTCAGCAGCTTCAGGATTCCAGTGTTGCCCTCCCAAAATCATTGAGTGAGAGACAACATGGGAGACACCTGTGGAGAGAAAGTGGGCCAGACCGGTGCCCTGAGAAAATGAAGGCAAGATGGGATGACACTGACCCTGAGCTCTGTAGGGAACCACTAGACCTCACAGGTATCAACATTAACTCCAACAGTTCACTTGAGCATCCATAGCAAGCCTACATTCAGCAGAGAGCTGATTCCTTTCTCCTTCTATTAATACAAATGAGGGCATTATCTTGCTTAGATGGTTATCATAACCTAGGGAATTGACATATGGTCCTCTGGTGCACGGAGTATGGCCAACTCCACAAACTCACTGACTATAAACCTAGCGGAAAGGAACTTACTAAGGCCAGAGAGGGACCCACATGCTGAGCTTAATCTTGATGATTGCCCTGCTCAACACATCCCAGCTGAGAGGAAATGATGAGGTTTCTCAGGAATAGGATGAAGAACATGGAATGGGGATCAGAATCACTCACTAGCACACAAGAGAGTTTTCATTTCACTGTGACCCCTGCTCCACAGACAGGGAGGATGTTAAGAGAGCTGCAGCTGAGACCAAGCTAACCCACAGGTTGGTTCTTATCACCTGTTATTCTACCTTCTGGGGACCCTTCTGCTGTGCTGTGGGACTCTGGGAAGGTACCCCTGTGAGATTTGATGTCATGCTCACCAGACAGGAGCAGAAAGTGGCAGGAGAATCATGTCTGAGGCTCCAGAAGACCCAGGGCACTGCAGGGACAGAGGTGGTAACAGAATAGGTTAGTGATCCACGTGATGAAAAATACTCCCCCCACTCCAAGTCAGTCATACTGTACCCCCCATCCCACATTCATACTCTACCTGGAAAATGGGGATTGCCATTGTTGCAGGCTGGTCTCATCCACATGCTCCCCAGATCCCCCGGCACAGCTACAGCTCTGTTTGCTTGACCAAGCCACCAGATTTTCTTTGACAAATGTTTGTGCCC